TGTGCTGGGGGGTGAGGGGGGCAGAGCCCACAGAGCAGACTGGCCAGGAGGAGAGGAGGAAGGACAGACTCTGGAGAGCAGAGATCCAGGGGCACGTCCCCACCCTTGCCCACCCACTCCTTCCACCTGCCTCCCCACACCTGCCCCAGCCCCAGGGTCCAGGCCCCTCCATGCTCTCCCTCCCTACCTCACGTCCCCCCTTGCTCATCTCTCTGAGGTCTCACCCACAGGGCCACTCTCCCTGCTGGCCAGTCGGCTGCCCTGGACACTGTGGAGAAGGCCACTCGCCTGGACCCTCCCTCTCCCTCAGCTCCCACTGCAGGCCTATGCTCTCCGGAGCCTCTGGAGTACTCCACGGCCTCCCCACCAAACGCTGGACCTGAGGTCTCGCAGGGCTCCGGGCATGTCTGTCCTGAGGTGGTCTCTGTGGGCAGCGTCAGCCCGGACTGCTGCTTACTCAGCTCACGGCTCCATCACCCCGGGATCACCGGGGACACCTCCCCACTGGGCAGCCCCTCCCCAGCCCCAGTGGGCTCTGGGTCACCCCAGCTTCACCACGAGGGGCTGGCTTCCCCCACTGCTGAGCCTGAGCCCCCAGCCTACCACAGGCCTACCACGCCAGGGCTCCCTCCTCCTGCCCTGGAGCCCCTCCCTCTTCTACCTCCTCCGGGGACCGGCCGGGCACCCCTCCTCTCGGCAGCCAGCAGGCACGTGGCCACACAGGACCCCGGCTGGGCCCCAGGCTCATACAGAGGGCGTACCCACACCCTGACGCTGACCCCAGGCACACAGCCAGCCCCACCAGGACAGCAGTGCCTGAGGGCAGGGCCAGGGAAGCCTCCTCTGCAAGTCCCCAGAACCCCTGACCAGGCCCCTAGACCAGGCCCCAGCAAACAGACAGTCACCTGCACCAAGAGTCATGCCAGGAGCCAAGCAGGAGGATGACCCACTGTGAAGGCCCACGCAAGTAGCCTCTGCATGCACGCATGAGAGACAGTCTGCCGGCTCACGGTTCAGCTTGTCCTCTGTCCAAGAACAGATCCACATATATAAAGAGCTCTTTGTACAAATCAACAACAAAGACCCACAACCCAGCCAAGCGCTGGGCAACGAAACTGAGTAGAGATTTCTCCAAAGAAGGCACACAGATGAGCAAGATGCCCACGAAGGAGGCCCAACATCGCTAGGCATCAGGGAAGTGCAAATCAGACCACGATGAGATACCACCCTACACCCCCTAGGAAGGCTAGACTAAAAAGCAGAACAAAACAAAAAACCAGAAACAACTAGAACTAGCGACTATGTGGAGGTGCGTGGCCAGTGGGAGCGTTCCTCCAAAATAGAAACAGAGTTACCACGGGATCCAGAAATTCCACCTCCAGGGATTACCCAGCAGAACTGAAAACACAGGGAAACTTTACACCAGTGCTCACCGCAGCATGACAAGAGCCAAACGGTGGACCCACCCAGGTGCCCGTCAGCAGATGCACGGAAGAAAAACTAGTCCGTGTCCGCACAATCGAATATCACTCGGTCACAAAGGGAAAGGCTCACGGATTCATGCTACAGCGTGGATGAATCTTGAAAATGTTATCCTTGCTGAAATAAGCCAGGCACGAAGGCCACATGCGGTATGGTTCCACTTATGTAAAATGTCCAGAACAGGCAAATCCACAGAGACAGAAAGTGGATTAGCGGTTGCCAGGGGCTGGGGGGGGGGAGGGGAGACAGGATGTGAGGTTTCTGGGGTGATGGAACACTCTGGAATTAGATAGTGGTGCTGGCCACACCGCCTTGTAGATGTACCAAATCCCACTGCACTGCATGCTCTAACAGGGTGAGTTTACGGGACAGGAGTTATATTTCCATCACAGAAAGAACGTGGGCCCTAACCAGCCCCATTTGCAGTGGCCCAGAGCACCTTGGCTGCCTTTCACACCGCTCGGAGCGCCCCCTGCCCTGACAGGTGGCCTGGCGGAGGGAGCCCTCTGGTACCACACCCCCACAGCCAGACCGGCTTCCCCAAGCCAGCCTGCAAAGGTTTCCCATAGAATGTGGGGTGCTGGGACCAATCCAAGAAAAGGCCTCAGGGCCCACGACAGCCTGTCCTAGTTCTCTGAAGAGGACCCACGTTGGAAGCCTGAGGCTCCCCTGGCAGCCCCTAGAGGCAAGTCTAGTGGCCCCCTGGGAGCCTCCGCTGGGGCTGGCTTGACACACGTGGGTAAGCAAAGGGCACTGAGGTACCCACTCTGCTGGACCCAGCCCCTGGCTCCATGCTTGGGGGGCAGCAGGGCCCCCCACCCTGGGTTTAGGGGCAGCCCTTCCTGAACAGATTTTCAGCATACACAGAACACCACTCAGCTCCCTCTTCTGCCCTCTAAGGCCTGAGGCAGGGCCGGACGCAGGCAAAGCTTTCAGCCCACCCAGGTGCATGGGGCATGGGGAGGTGGGGGTCTGAGTCTGTTTCCCAAACTCGCCAGGAGACCTCGGGCCGGCCCCTTTCTGCTGGGAGCCAGGCACCCTCCTCCTTCCAGGAGGGCATCAGGCCAAGCTGTCTAGGCCCCTGGAGAACCAGATGGAAACACCACCTGCTAATCACACCGCCAAGAAGCAGGGCCAGGCCACGGAGGAAGAGGGAAGAACCCCTTCCCCGCGGCCTGGAGGGTCTTGCCTAGTGGCCAGAGACTGAAAGGGCAACAGGAGCAGGGCGGGTTGGGTTGCAGCCCCGGGGAGGGGGCAGGGAGGGCTCCGCCGACCACGTGACACGCCCCCCCACCCCCACCCCCGGGCCAGCCTCTCTGGGTTTCTGGGCTGTAACTGGAGCTACCCTGCCTGCCTGCGAGCCTCCGTGTGCCAGGCAGAGCTTTTGGAGAGGGGGGAAGGGAGAAGGAGGGCCTGAATCCCAGCTCCTTCCTCCTGCTCCTCGGCCACTGCAGGTTGGGAGGGAAGCCCCCAGTCCCAGCCCTGCCCTGCCCACCTTGGGCCATCTCCTCCCCCCAGCCCTCCAGCTTCCACCACTTTGCTGGGCTGGGAGAAAGGGCCCCAGAGCAGAAGGGCTGGGCCTCCACACACAGACCACCAGCTCAGAGCACATCTTGCCCCCTCCTCTCCTTCTGCATCTGGCTCCACCTTGGGAGTCACCTCCCTGAGGAGCTTGCTGGGTAAGGACCCCTCCGGCGCCGGGTCCCTACCCTCCCCTGCCCGTCCAGCTGGCACCAGGCCTGCCCCCGTTCCAGGACCTCTGTCCGTCATGCAGAACCCAGCTCTCCTGCCCGGTGCTGGGCGTGGCAGGGGCCCCAGCAGAGCCAGCTGTCCCTGGGGCAGCACGTCTGTCCCCTATGCTGCCCACAGGTCAGCCTTTGGGGCCAAAGTGCTGGGCAAGAGAGCTGGTCAGAGGGGTGACAGGGGCACCAAGGCCTCCCTGCGTCCCACCCACACGCCCACTGGCTAAATGGCAGAGCTCAGCGACTCCCCCAGAGGTGCTGCCGGGGGCCAGGAGCCAGGACCCCCACCTCCCCCCGTGGGCGGGCAGCAGGGAGACTCGCAGAGCAGACAAGCCCAGGGTGTGTCTGGAGCCTGGTGAGCAGACCGAGCGGGAAGGCACAGCTGGCTGACTCACCGAGGACCTGCGGCCAGACGGCCATCCTCTGACCCTCCCTCTGCGCGCGAGGGCGAGGCCAGGCTGCACAGACGGCGCGGGGCGTGCGAGCCTCTGGCCCAGCCCAGGCCCCAGGCAGGGCCCGGCCCAGAGCCGGAGCCAGGAGAGCCTGCCGGGTGGGGTCTCCAGGGGAAGGAGACACGGAGCTGACCCTGGAAGACGACCCAGGAGAAAGGAACAGAAGGAGAAAGGGGGGAAAGAAAAACACAAAGGGAAAGTTTCCCATGAAAATATTTTATTTTCTTTGAGAACAGGATACACCTGCAGGGCTCCTCGCCCAGTGGCCTCTCCCCGCCCTGGCCGTGGCACATTTCTGGACCAACGGGGCCCTCTGCCGGCCAGCTGCCGCGCGACTGCGCCCGGGCCCGGGGCGAGGGAACAGGTGACGGGCAGAGGGCGGCGGCCAGGAGCGGCGCCGGGCACCCAGCGCAGGGGCCAGGGCGCGAGGGTGGGCCGCGGCTCCAGGGGCGGCGCCTGGGCGGCAGGAGCTGACGCTGAGGGGCCCCGAGGGCTGTTTGCGCCGTGCCACCCCGGACCTCAGGGTGCCCGTCTGCGTGGCACAGCGACGGAGGGTCCCCAAAGGTCTCTGGGCTGGACATCCCAGATCTGGGAGACAGGGACGAGGAAGAGCAGGAATGAACGACAGAGAGCGACGCGCCGAAACCACGCGAACTGCTACTACGGAGAAGCGCGCGGGGCAGCGACCCCTGAGACAGCAGCGGGGGGCCGCGCTCACGCCCGGGCCGGGCCCTGCGCAGCCGGCCAGGTCCCACAGAAGCGCTCCTGCCGGGGCCCGAGCGGGCGTAAGAAGCAAAGCGCAAGAAAAATAAATTCCTCCAGCTTGGAGTTATTTTTTTTTTTTTTCCTTTGGGGCTCAGTGCAGGGAACATCTGGATTTTGTACGTATTTTTTTGTTGTTGTTAAATTAACTTCTCGAGGAGAGAAAGGAGGGGGAAGCTGCAAGGGGGGTGGGTGGGTAGGGGCCAGGAGAGGCTCCAGCCGTTCCGCCAGAACTCGGCGGCCTAACAGAGCGCCAGGACCAGGCTTGGTCCCCGAGCTCCAGGGAGCCCCGCGCACGGGCGCGTCGCAGAGACGACGCCTCCGGGGTCACCGAGGACCACGACCCCGTGCCAGCCCGTCGGGTATGCCGGCCCCTCTCCCCACGCAGCGCCGCGAGGACACTGACCCGCTGACGGAGCGACGCGCACGCCGCAAACAGCGCCCGGCAACCCGCTGGCCCGCGCCAGCCGGCCCGGGCCCGCGCACCTGGGCCGCCCGCCCCGCGCCCCGTCCCCGCGCCGCCCGCCCGCCCGCCTGCCGGCCGGGCCGCCGAGGCACCTACCCGAAGTAGGCGGCCGAGGGGCGCAGCGCGGCGAGCAGCAGCGTCAGCGCGAAGGCCGCGGCCAGCCAGCGCGCCAGCAGGGGCCCATCCAGCATCTTGCCGCGCCTCGGCGGCTGACCATCGCGCTCCCGGCCCCGCGCAGGGCGCCCCGCGGCCGCTGCCCTCTTATAGCGCCCGGAGCTCCGGGCCGGGGGCGGGGCGCCGGCCAGCTGGGCCCGGCCCGCCCGCGCCCGAGGAGGGGTCACGCCGGCGCCGGGGGCGGGCCGAAACCCGAGCCGAGCGCGCGGCCCCGCCGCGCCGCCGCCCGGCCCCTCGGGTGTCGGGGCGCGCCCCGCGCGTGGAGGCGGGGCGCGTGGGGGGGCGGGAGGAGTGGGGAGCAGGTGGGGGGGCCAGGGGCGGGGCTGGAGCGGAGCGCTGGCCCTGAGCCGGGGCGGCCGGGATGGGAGGGACGCCGGGCGGCCGCGGGGGCGGGGCTGGGGGCGGGCTGGGGGCGCGCGGAGGGCCGGGGCGGGCCCGGGGCGGAGCGTTGGCTCTGAGCGGCCCGCCGCGTTGGGGGGACTCGGGGCGGCCACGGGGGCGGGGCCAGGGGCGCATGGGGCCTGGGGGCGGGGTCGGGGCGGAGCTCGAGGCCGGGACGCGCGGGGATGGGCCCTGGAGGAGCCAGGGTTAGCCCGGAGCTGAAGCGCTCGCGCCCGCTCCCCTGAGAGTTGGCGTGGAAAGGGAGGCCGGGCAACAGGTGATGCCCGCGCTCTTTGAGAAGCCAGATCGCTCGGGACGCGAAGCCGGAGGGGCGCTGCTCCCTGGGAATGAGGCGACCTGGCCAGAGGAGCGCAAAGGCTGAGTCGCTTAACCTTTGGGGACCTCTGTCTCCCCACCCGTATTAAATCGAGGGAGGTGAGCCGATGCTCGGGCGACCCCCGTTCTCAGGGCCTCTGTACAGCGGGGGCTGGGGGATGGGAGCTCGGGGGACCAAAGGGGCCTGGCGCGGCCGAGGCCAGAGGAGCCGCAGGGGACGCGGACGAGAGGAGGCACAGGGCCGCTGCTGACACAAGGCGGTGTCGGAGAACCCAAAATCGAATTAAGCAGACACAAGACTGGGTTCGAGGAGAAGCGGCTAGAAGGCCCCTGGGTCAGCAGCCCCATACAGCCGCACAGCTCCGGGGCCCAGGCCGCGGTGTAGGTTCCTGCGGAATGCCCGTCTCCAGATAACATCAAAGACCCCTGGGACTAGCCAGGCCCTGTTGCCAGGGGCCGCTAGCCTGGGGCCTGCAAGGGAGAGCCCAGCTCCCTACCAGTTTGTCTGAACTTGGAGGAGCTGCTTCTGGGCACAATGGCCCTGGATCAGGGGGTCTGGGCACCTCCAAAGGTTGGGCTGGTGGGCTCTGAGAATCTACCACTCAGTGACCTGTCTTGGAACGGTGCTCAGAGGCAAAGGAGGGGGCAGAAAATGCACCTCTCAGTGGCCTTGTTGGAGCAGGACAGCTCTGGGGCTCCTGCCTCTCTGGGAAGGCCACCCAGGCGAGCATGCCCCGTCTTGCCTGGGGAGCTCCTGGTGCATGACTGAGTGAGGTGGGGTGCAGATGGGGCCAGGACAAACCACTTCCTCTCAGGGCCTCAGTTTCCCCATCTGAGATCCATCTAACTCCAGGGAGCTGTGGCTTTTTCTACGTTGTGATGTCATGTTGTAGAAACCCCCACCCATGGTTAGCCCTCTCTGCGGGTGTGACCGGCCTCACGTCATTCCCCTCTTCCGGAACCCCTCCTGCGGGAAGGGGCTCTCCATTGCCCTCATCTGCTCACACCCTGCTTGGCCAGCTCACCAGCGGGGCTGGCTCCGCAAAGAGAAGGCTGACCAAAGGCAGCCCCAGCCCACCCAGGCTGCAGGGCCGGGGGACGCACTGCTCCGCCCCCCACGACCACGGCCTTGTGCAGCCGTGAGGCCTCCACCTGAAGCCTGCCTCCCACACCCGGGAAGTGCTGGGGGTGGGGGGAGACACAGAGTGATGACATGTTTAAAGGCACGGAGATTGCGTCCAAGAAAAATGAAGTGTGAGATTGTAAACGTGTGTCTGGAAGGCGCTGCAGGCATTACAGACCTCTCTTCCTCGGGGAGTGGAGGGGTTCTCACGTCGGCCGCCCAGTGAGTCCTGAAGAAGGAGGCGGCCCTGGAGGTCCCAGCCCAGGACCTGGCGGGGCCGCAGCTGTGAGAGGGAGGTGGAAAGGATGAGCGCCATCTGTGGGCTCCGGAAGGGGAAGGCTGTCTGGGGGTGGAGGGTGCTCAGGCCAGTCCTGAGCCCACCCGCCACACCCCGCCTGAAGCCCCCACTGAGCCACCCCATATCAGCAAGGGTGGGGTTCCGAGAGACCCCTCCAGTCTGAGGACTGGGAACCAGGGCCCGCGGGACCCCAGGCTTGGCTGGCCACAAAGTGGGAGGGCCCAGCGCCCAGTGCAGTATGAGGCATAACTAAGGGTCTGGGCTGCGCCGGCCCCTGTTCCCTGCACCTTGGGAGACAGCCCCACCCCAGCTAGACCCTGGAGTCAGGCTCCCTCTCCCAGCCTCAGACTGCACCCTGCCTCTGCCTACATGCCCACCTCCCCAGTAACCGATGGGCCTTCACAAACCTTGCTCCCGGGCCCTTGGAGCTCTGCAGAGGCCTGCCTCCACCCACACTCAGCCCCAGCCCACCTCGGCAGCCCCTGTCCACCTGGAACACCTACCCTGGCTTGTCCCCGGTAGGCCAGCCACGCTGCCAACAGCCCGGCTCATTTGACCCTGATGGTAAACCGAGGCCCAGAGAACCACAGTGAAGGCTAGGGGTACAAATGCGTGGTCCTGGCCCCCCAGCAGATCATCTCACGTGTCTCGGCGTGAGGAGGGGATGCTGTCCAGGGAGGGCAGATGTTTCTCATCGGCATTCTTGGGCATGGCCAGTGGCATCTGGCCAATTGCGAAGTGACCCCCTGTGTCTGCTGAAGAGGCCTGGGCCTGGGGCTTCCCTGGCTGGAAGCACTTTGTCCCCCAGCAGGGCCGACCTCGGTCTGCCTGGGCACAGGTCAGCTTGCCAGGGCAGGATATTCAGAGCCGGCAGCAGGACAAGCTTCCACCGCTGGTCCAGGGGCTGCAGCTGCCCTGTGTGGCTTGAGGGAGACCGAGGAATGGTCCAGACCAGGCTGGATAGTCTCTGCCCTGCACACATCCCTAACACAGGTCAGGATTGGGAAACGCTGTGGTGCCATCCATGGGGGGACCCCCCAAGAGGGCTGCGTCAGGGCCCCAGAGGGGCTTGTGCTCCGAAAAGAAGCCTACTTGGGAAGGGAAAATCAAAGGCAATGGGCCTCGGTGCTCACTGGATCCTGATGCTTTCGCAAATGTCTAGCTTCAAGGGGAGCCCAGCTCTGTGAACTGCTGTAATCCCACACAGCCATGGACCCCGAGTGGGTCCCCAGCCATGCAGAGAGGGCTGCCCAGGACTCAGCAGAACAGCAGACTCCTGCAAAGTCAGGGTGCCGCCAAGACCCTCCGCTGGGCGAGGGCAGGACCGCTGTGTCTCCAAGGCCCCATCTGGATGCGGTGGCAGAGTCTCAACTGTCTATCAATGACAACCTCCGTCCCCTCCTCCCTTGGAGGAGATCAGAGACAGAGACCGAGAGATAGCAGGAGGAAGCCTGCCTTCCCCACTGGCACCCACCCAATCTTTACGCCCTCTGTGAGCCTCAGTTTCCCAGTAAACAGCCATGAGGGTGGAGTTCTGGGAGACTCTGGGAGGGCCAGCCTGGGGAGGTATTGCCAGCCACTGCCAGGATGGGGGGGGGGTGCAGTTCTCCGGGTGGTCTGGAAGGAGCAGGCAAGCAGCCGCTTATCAGGAAACATTGCCTAATTGGGAAGGTTTATGGGTCCAAGCAGGGGGTCTCCCTGGGGAAGACGGTGAAAGCCACTCATGAGTCATTTGAAACTGAGCTGGACAAAGAGCTCAAGGAGAAATGATCCCACCCAGCCTGCCAGCCGTGCGCAGAATGAGCTCATGGCCTGTGGGGCACGTGTATGTGTGCTCATGTTCGTGTGTGTGTGTGTGTGCGCGCACACACACGCGCGTGCACGATCATGAGGGAGAGAAGAAGGAAGAGAAGGCTGGTGCTCTCGTAGCTGGGACTGGGAAGCTGAGCCCAGTGGAGCCGCCACCACAGCCCATCCCTACATGGCCAGGCTGCCCCCTGCAGGTCAGCTGTCCCAATATCCCAGCCAGCACCCAGTCCAGCATCCCAGCCAGCATCCTGGTCCAGCATCCCAGCCAGCGGCCAGTTCAGCATCCAGGCCAAGCATCCTGGTCCAGTGTCCCAGCCAGTGCCCAGTCCAGCATCCCACCAGCACCCAGTTCAGCATCCTGGCCAAGCATCTTGATCCAGCATCCCAGCCAGCATCTGGTTCAGCATTCCAGCAAGCACCCAGTTTAGCCTCCCAGCCAGCATCCTGGTCCAGCATTCCAGGCAGCACCCAGTTCAGCATCCGGGTCAAGCATCCTTGTCCAGTATCCCAGCCAACATCCTGATCCAGCGACCTGGCCAGTGCCCAGTTCAGCATCCCAACCAGTGCCCAGTTCAGCATCCCAGCCAAGCATCATGGTCCAGCGTCCCAGCCAGTCCCTGGTCCAGTATCTTGGCCAGCATCCTGGTCCAGCATTCCAGCCAGTGCCCAGTTCAGCATCCCAGCCAGCATCGTGGTCCAACATCCCAGCCAATGCCTAGTTCAGCATCCCAGTCAAGCATCCTTGTCCAGCGTCCCAGCCAGCACCTAATTCCAGCATCCTGGCCAAACATCCTGGTCCAGCATCCCAGCCAACATTCTGGTCCAGCATCCCAGCCAGAACCCAGTTCAGCATCCCAGCCAAGCATTCTTGTCCAGTATCCCAGCCAGCACCTAATTCCAGCATCCCAGCCAAGCATCCTGGTCCAGGGTCCCAACCAGCACTCAGTTCAACATCCTGGCCAAGCATCCTGGTCCAGCATCTCAGCAGAACCCAGTTCACCATCCCAGCCAAGCATCCTTGTCCAGTATCCCAGCCAGCATCCTTGTCCAGTATCCTGGTCCAGCATCCCAGCCAGTGCCCAGTTCAGCATTCCAGCCAGTACCCAGTTCAGCATCCCAGCCAAGCATCCTTGCCCAGTA